GCAGTTTATATTGGCGGTTTTCCGTAATTGAAAGAACTGAACACTATAAAAATATTCTCTGTGTATATATAATTGAAGATACGAAGTAGTTTCAGTATTATTAAGTTTATTGGTCTCTATTTTACTGAAATTCATTCATATAATCATGAAATAATACGGAATTTGTTTTTTACTTTATTTTTCGGCGATTTGAAAATTTTTTTGCACCCAATTAGAAAATTCGCTTAGCCACAGATAATTCCATGCTAAGAATAAATTTTAGTACTTATATATTATGTTTCATTTAATATCAGTCGAAAACATTTTCTATCGAAAATTACAAAATTTTCATATCATTTTAAAGAATGTAATTTAAAATTACAAAATTTGAGCGAAATCGGTCGAATAGTTAGTGAGAAATCATATTTTTAAAAATTCGATTTCTCAGAAACTTTTCGACAGATTTTGCTCAAATTTTGTATTTTGCCATGTTAAAATACATTTTTTAAAATGATGTTTAAAAATTGTTGACCTTACAAATTAAAGTACAAAACACTTGAGGCTGTTTTGAAGTTGATAGAAATTTACTCAAAAGCAACCAGCTTAGATAGGTGTGTTTTGAGTCTCACAGGTTATTTTTTATACACTTCAAGCTAGATTTGAGATGTGATTAATTTCACCGAATATCAATTTAAAATTTTGTTGTGCTTAGAAAGCATTTGCTGTCGGCCTTGAACAAAAGCAGACGCCTACAGTTTGCAGAGAAGCATAAGGATTGGACAGTAGGTGACTGGAAAAGGTTCCTGTGGTCTGATGAATCATGATTTTAATTACACCATGCAGACGCCAGGAGTCGGGTTTGGTGGAAGCAGCACGAAAGCTTGGTCACCAACTGCATTGCCACAATAATTCTAGCTGGTGGAGGCAATGTTATGGTTAGGGGGATGTTTTCTTGACATTGCATGTGCTCTTCGATACCTGTGGAACAACATCTGAACGCACAAGGGTATCAAAGTGTAAATCGCAGATCAAGTACATCCTGTTATGTTAATGGTGTACCCTCTTGGATCGATACTTTCAACAAGACAATGCTCCATGTCATACAGCTCGTATTGTGGACAGGTGTTGCGAAGAACATGGCGGTGACTTTGCTTTGTTGGTCCGCAGAGTCACCAGATCTTAATCCAGTTGAGAATTTGAGGGATGATATCGAAGGAGACATCAAGCAGCTGGGTCTAGTGCCATCTAATCTGACGGAACTGAAAAATGCTCACCGGATATGGGATTAGATTCCTCCCACAACCTACAAACATCTCAAAGAACCTATGGCAAGAAGAATTCGAGTAGTATTACGGGCGCTACTATATATATATATATATATATANTATCCAATTTTATATTAATTTCTTCGTTTATATTATTATATTTATTTGATATATTTATATTTATTCCATATTTTAATACTTACTGACGATTGATTAGAAGAAATATCAGTGTTTGGAGTATCGGGCAAATATATACCGGGCAATGGCACTTGACCTTAAAAAAAAAATCAGTGTAGGTTATACCGGTAGGTTATACTTACATACATCCTAATAAGTAAAATAAGAAATGCAACTAAAAATGAAGGAAATATTTTAATATATTATTATTGAGAATGATTAAAACAAAAAAGCATTTCTATGGAAAAGTAATCGTTAGAATTCTATACATTTATTAACAATAAAATACGGATCATAAGTTAAATATAAAATAAACGATATGTTTTAGAAAAAAGTACATCAAAATTGCTCTACTATATGAGTGTAACCTAATGTTTATAACTTTAGACAAGTACAATCAGTTAATTACAGTGTTTGAACAGTTATTGATATACAATTGGGTATTCCAAAGCAAATGATTGAAATTGAGAGGAAAAAGCAGAAGCATGCAGGCTGATATCGATTTCACTTCAAATGAGTCGTTTACCAGAAAAGCGATGCCGGGATATCCTGATTGGTAAGGCGTTGAGCCCATGTCCAAGAAGTCGTGGGTTTAATCCCCGCCGGTCAAAGACTAGCCGTGTAGTAAATGGTGACGGGTGCTCGTTAAATTTGTCGGCTCAGAGAAACCTCCATGTTCCCATAATAAATCAATAACTGTAAGGAAATTGGTTGTTCTCTTTTTTAGGTCAAAATTTCGATCTGAGTCAGGGCTGAAAGCCTATGTATAACAAGACGGAAAAGAGCAAAAACTGGTACGAAAGGCATTTAAATCTAGCATTTTTTTCGAGAAACATTAAATTTCTGTAACTACCGAATTTTTTTACAATTTTAGCATATATATGAAACAGATTCTTTCTTTAAAATAGATTTAACTGATTAATTAAAACAGAGAATTGCTTAACTCCTCCCGAAAACATGTTAAAACTAAAATGGGTTTACTACCAGTTTTTCCCCTTTTCCGTCTCGCTTTCACCCATGATCTGAGTATGAATGAGTCACCCCTATGAACTGGCATGACGTATGGGTGCTGCCAAAGATGGCATCCCTGGAAAGCAAGAACATTCACACCCTTTGCCTTAATGGTCTACGACAACAGCAACAAAAAGCCCGAAAAGCGACAACAGCGACAAAACTACAAGATAGTGGCTCTGAAATGATGATGGATTTGAAAATCAGGAACGGCATCAAAATAACGGTGCATTCCTACTATGGCCGTTAAAAGATAGACAACAATTAAACGGGATTGGGTGCTTGGCCATAACCAGGAGATATACGAGAACTACCCAAACAATTCTCAGAGGTTCAGCAAAGGACTATATATATATAGACAGTATAAAATGTATTGAAATGTGGCATAAAAATAAAAGTATAATATCTGGGGTATTGAAAATGATTTGGGGAAAATGCGAAACTAAGTTATGTGAAGAAAAAAACTTGCTAAACAGTTCTAAGGGTCATCGTCCCATAATATATTTAAAAAGTAAATGAAATCTAGGTATGAAAGCTGAGGAGTTAAAAAAAGGCAATGACAAAATAAGAGCCATGAGCCGTGGTGGCTCAGGGGATACTGAGTTCGCCTTCCACTGAGGATAACCGGTTTCGAATCCCAGCGATGACTGGTCTGTACGAATTCCTCCCCGACACGCACTGATTACAGTGCTGACGTAAAATGTTCTCAGTGGTCTATCCAAGGATCATGAGTTAGAGTCCTCCTGCCGTCAGGCTAATTAGGGGAGGATTTTGTGGTTTTTCTTTCCATGTATCGCAAATGCCGGTAACTTCCATCAAAAAAGACCTCTTCCAAGACAAATGCTTGATCCAGAAGTTCCCATGTCTTCTGCATTGGGTTCAAAATTACAACGATACGGAGTTGAACATTGGTAGCCATAAACTCAAGTTTGGGATGGCAGTTCAACGACGGTAATATTTAATAAAATAATGACTAAATAAAATAAAAATATAATGACGTTAATATAATAATGTAAATACGTTATAATAATAATATAATAAAATAATGTCGGTAAAATAATGACTAAATCAATAACATTACCATTTCAATATCTCTATCCGATTATTTTAATTTATGAACGGAATAACTAATCCCGAATTGCTTTTAAGTAAAGATCTTAGTTTATAAAATATGAAACCGAATATATTTGATGTGATTAACTTAAATTCGTAAATGCTGGTACTCACCAATTAATTTTATAATTAGTAAAATACCGATTTAAACTGCGTTTTAAATGTACCGCTAGTGAGTTACATTTAAATAATTTAAATGAATAAAAAGGTAAATATATTTTATAAAGTGGTAGCTATCTTAATTTTAAATATTAGTTTCAAGTGTTTCTAAACGTTTTTTTGGTCGTGGCTCCAAAATATATATTTTTTTCACAGTCAGAATATTTAATTCATAGATATGCAGTATGTTTCATATACGTAATGTAAAACTATGAAAAATGAACAACGAAATAATAACTGCCAGCTACTATGCTTTTTACTGAAGGTTTTTCTGACACCCTGAATTAGACTGTTGACCTTTAGTTAAGTAAACTTGATTTAAAGCGAGTCTAAATTCTAGAGGGCCAAATCGTTCAGGAAAGTAAAAAAAAAGAACTTTTCACAGAAAAAGAGGAATAATGTTTTTTTTATAAATAAGAGGAATTTATGTCTCTTCTTCAACTCTTTATAAACTCATATTAATTCTTTCACAGATTTATTGGAAACGCTTCAAAACCTCTGTACGTTGTTATTGTTGAGGTCGGCCATTATGGCAGAGGGGGTGCAATTGTTCTTGTTTTCCAGTGGCGCTATCTATCGACGAAAAATCAATTTCTGCCACACTTACGTCATGCCCGTTCGCGGGATGGACCCATTCATACATCAATTTATTCATTTATTGATCAATTTTGATTTGAACCAGCGAAGGACCAATCTCCAACTAACTCAGTACCTCCTGAGGTTTAATTTGCTATGAGAACACGGAGGACTCTGTGACCCGACAGATTTAACGCGCATCAATCACCATTTAGTTCACGGGTACTCTTTGGCTTGCTGGATTCGAACTCCCGTTCTCAAGAACGTGAGTCCAGCGCCCTGCCAACCAGGCTATCTCTGCCCACTACCGATCGTTAAAGAATTAAATATATCCCTCCCACATGACTTTTTATTGATTTATTTTTTCCAATTCTCTCTATAAAGCTTTTTTTTTTCATAAGTTCTGAGTTTTTAGTTTAGGGTGGGTGTCCAACTGTCGATAGCAATTTATTAAGATGGGACGTTTTCTAAACAAAAATAAAGACTCCTATTTCCCTCTTACTCCCTTTCAAATTTTAATTCATCGATGCTTCTATAAGAATCGCATTTTCACATCCTACGTAAAGTTAGTCAGGAAAAAATAGATCTGGAAGGGATGTCTTCTCCTTTAAAACAAGGAAAACAGGCGGACGCGACAGGTAACCAATCAGAAAAGAGAGATCAACCGCTGACGTCACACGATCTATGCTAATAGGCTGCGTGCGCGATAGATAAAAGTTGATTTTAGTGAAACAATCCAACCATTCACGGCTCTCTTCCTGAGTGGTCATCATTCTGAGAAAATCCCGAAAAAGAATCTCTAGAATTCCTGATAAATATTTCTGGTATTTCTACTAAAGGTTAGTCATTTTAAATTTTGAAAATAGTTATATTTTATGCATTCTTTTAAAAAGTCACTAAACTTTGCATGTTTTAAATATTATATAAAATAAACAATACTTGTATTTATATTTAACAGAAGTTAGCAATTTGTTCGTCGAAAATTTGGTATTATAAAATAGAATAAAAAGCTAGTCATTTACTATATGCGTTTTAAAAAATAATATACGTTTAATTATATGCCTTTAAACATTTTTCGCTGTTTGAGGGGTTATCATTCTGAGAAAATCGAATCCCGAAAAAGAATCTTTAGAATCAACCTAAAAATATTTTTGTTATCTCAACTAAAGGTTAGTATTTATAAAATTTGGAAATAGTTATAGTATTTTACGGTTTTATGAATTTTTTTTCTTAGTAGTCAATCTTTGTGTTAAAATTACAGACTAAAAATAACACTTTTATTTATTTTTAAAAAAAGGTTAATAGTTCGTGGTTCTGAAACTTGACATTAGATATAAAACTGAAAAATATATTTACTATATGTGTAAATAATGCGTGAAAAAATGTGTAATATAATTTAGCTTTATGAGTAAAATAATTTAGCTTAATATACGTAATAATATACGTAAAAGAATGTTTTATAACTCCTGTCTCTTTCCTTGAATGGTCAACATTTTGCGAAAATTGAATCCCGAACAAGAATCTTAAGAGTATCCGAAAAATATTTTTGACGTTTCTACAAAAGGTTTGTAATTTTAAAATAGCTATATTTTATGTATTCTTTTAAACTACGCCTTTGCACTCGTTAAATATTACATATGACAAATAATAACATTATTCATAATTTTAAAAAAATGCAATTTGTTGTTCTAAAATTTTTGTTTGATATAAGACAAATGCAAAAATTACTCACTTAATGCGTTGTACAGACTAATGTACTTTTACTTATTTGCCTTAAAACATTTATGGCTCTCTAAGTCGTCATCATTCTGAGAAAAACAAGTTCGTGAAAAAACTGTCCAGAATTTCTAAAAAAATATTTCTGGTAAAGTATTTTCGTAATTTTAAAACAGATATGATGTTTTACGTTTTTATGACATTTTTATAAATTTGCCAAACTTTGTGTTAAAATTAGAGACGACAAACAAAATGTTCTTTAATGTTTTTAAAAAAAAGTTATTGATTTCTGGCTCTGAAACTTCCTATTTATAATTAAACTTTTAAGAAACTTTTTATTTATAATTAAAAATAATTGCAATTTGTTGTTTAATTTTTTTTAGATATGAAACAAAAGCAAAAAACTATTTATTTAATGCGTTGCACAAAATAATGTACTTTTAATTATATGTCCTAAGACATTCATGGTTCTCTGTGTGGTCATCCTTTTGAGAAATCGAATCCCGAAAAAAAATCTCCAGAATTTCTGAACTTATTTCTGGTATTTCTTCTAAAGATGCGTAATTTTAAATTTTGAAAATAATAACATTTTATGTAATCTTGTGTTAAATATTACATATCATAAATAATAGCTTTAGTTTTATACATATTTTTTAAACAAAATAACAATTTGTTGTTTTTAAATCTGGTATTAGAACGTTACATTTGGTATTCACAGAAAGAAAAACCTGCTTAATTTATAAGTTGTACGAAATAACATACGTTTAATTAAATGCTTAAAAACATTCAAGGGTCCCTGAGTAGTCATTATTCTGAGAAAATCGAATTTTGAAAAATAATCTCTATAATTCCNATATATACATATATTTAAATTAAATAACAATTCGATTTACATTTAATAAAAGTTAGAAATTTGTGGATCTGAAATTTAGTATTAGATATAAAATTGATAAAAAAAATTATATTATTTACTGTATGTGTTTCTCGAAATAATTTAGGTTTAATAATATGCGTTTACATACATGGCCATCTTTCGGAGTGGTCATCATTCTGAGAAAATCGAACTCCTCCCCAATAAAAATAATACAATAAAAATAATGTCTATAACATCTGAAAGATATTTCAGGCATTTCTACTAAAATTAGTACTTTAAAATTTTGAAAATAGACATTTTATTTAATGTATTTTATTATATGTGGTGCCCCAGCGGGGTTGGACGCATGTGGACGGATACGGCTTTGGGCCAGAAAGAACTATCATGAAGTCCAGTTTTAACTTCTGAATACTCCAGGGCTAGGGTAGTTTTATTCATTACTTATTATATACACTATGTAAAAGAGTCACAAAACTTAGTTTTCGTTAAATATATTACTTTTGACAAATAATTATTTTATTCTTATTTGGAAAAAAAATTAGCAAATTGTTGTTTTAAAGCATGGTACAAGGTGTAAAATAATTAGAAAATACATTAACAAAATTTACTATATGTCTTTCAAACTGAATTTAAACTTGGTGGCTCGACAGCCCATAGAGGGCCAAAGCCTATTGCGCCAACCCATCTCAATTGTTTGATCTTGGGCTCTGAGGTGCAGGAGCAGATCTTCTGCTTGGGTGGTTGACCGAACGCGAAATCCCAGTGTTTAGTCCTTAAGCAATGTCTTTTACCAAAGTATTTTATGTATTACCTCACTGTTATAATTAATGAATAAAAATATTTTCTTATTAATTTTTAGAAAAATGCATTAAATTTTTTTAAAAGTGCATTACAATTGAACTGCACAAACAATGTAAGAGAAAAAAAGTTATTCTTCAGATTTTGTTATATTTTCGCCTGAATGTACCAAGTTTACAATTATATAAAAGTTAAAATCATTTCGAATTAAATCGGTGGTAATTAAATTTATAAAACCAAAAATGAAATTTTAAAAAAGCCTAAATTTCACTATCACATAAAATATAAAAATAAAATCATTCCGAAGATCCGGATGAAAGACCAGTTATGCAATTACTATTAGAATATGGAAATATTTCCCTCAATTTACGAATTTATTCTGATACATAAAAATTGAAATAAAAAAATTATTTGTGTTTCCATTATTTATCTACCTATTTCAGCTGGGATAGCCTGGTCGCCAGGGCACTGGACTCACGTTCGTAAGAACGGGAGTTCGAATCCAGCCGGCCGAAGACTCCTTGTGCAGAAAAAGGGGACTGGTGCATGCTAAATATATCAGGTCACAAAGTCCTCCATGATCATATGACAAATTATATCTCTGGGGGTACTGAATTAGAGATTGATCTTTCGTTGGTTCAGGTCAAAATTACGATCTGTGGATGAATGAATGGATGTATGAATGAGTCCGCCTCATAAAAGGGTGCGAAGTTTGGGTGTGGAAGTAGTCGAATTCTCGCCCGTAGATGTCCCCACTTGAATTCAAGAACAACCACACTCTTTGCATTAATGGCTACAACAACCACAACAACAATACCTACCACTTTTATTTTTTCTAAGTTGTGCCCAATTTGTTTATGCAAACAAGTAAAAAAATTAAGAACACTTTGATTTTTACACTGTGTAATAAACTGGGTTAGAATTTCAATCAGTTATTTAAGAAACATTTTAACACCTGATATGATAGACATCCTCTCCCATGATTTGTCACCTATGTCAGACCTGAAAGCAAGATGTATAAAGTGGTAGTAAAACCATATTATTTACTACATCTGGTTTTCATGAGGAGCAAAATAAGCTATTCCAGTTCTTAACACGTTCACGCCGGGAAAAGTGAAAATACTGGTAGAAGAACTACTTCAATATTAGATAATATTCGGGAGGAGTTAATCTATTCTCAACAATAACAATTCACTGTAAGGAATGTATTATTATTATTAAAATTATAATTTATCGAAGAAGCAATTCATTATAAAAATTGCATCCGTTAAAAACAATTGGTAGTTATGGATTTTTATTATTTCCGGAAAAAAACTAAAAAAGGAAATTTATTGTTACCAGTTTTTACTCCGGTGCACTGCGTAGATGAGCAATCTAGCGTGACCCACCGGTGGGTCACTCCGACGTGAACGTATTAATAATAGCTTATTAATCATTGCTCACTTTTTCTCGGTAAAAAAAAAAGTCCCATCTGTCTGTTACTTAAAAATCTAGGTAGTGAGGGATATTTTAAGCTTTTAAAAAAAACTCCATTTTCTCACCAATTTCTGCGTTCTTTAGTCTTGAGCTATATAAGTTTTCAGCCGTGACCTGCTATTAAATTTACTAGCTAAATTTACTTCTGATTACTTGCAATAATTTGCTGAGCATAGCCAATATTGAATAAATATTAAAGGGAAGAATGAGCAAGAAGCGTCCCTCTCGCGTGTTAGCTAATTTCATTTACCTACATGAAACAGCATTTATATTTTGGTTGATTGTTTAATTTCCGGTTACTTATTTCTTCCCGGATTTAGAACCACTTAACATCCGAAACATTGCTGAATTTTTTTTCCCCGATCAACTGCTAATATTACCCTTTTGCAAGTAACTTCTCTTATATGCTAACTACATTAAAAGTAGCGACGTTGAATAAAAAGGACATATTTTAGGATTGTAAGCTATTTTCTTTTTTATCTTGTATAGTGCGTAAAATAAATGGAACACCTTTACTAATTTTTTTTTAACCTAAAGATCAGATTTTCACTTATTTAGTAGCAATCTCAATTGTTCAAGGATTTGGTATTAAATATGATAATAAAAAAGTTCGGAACACATAGATTAAATTACGCTGACACAAAAACGTAGTTTTTATGAATAAAAATAGTGTTTTTCTACGGATTTGGATCCATGATCCTAAAAATATTGAGATTAAATGGGGCGTTCGAAACCTGACCCTTTTAATGACAATTTTTCTTTTTGGTCATTCCGTTATAGTTTCAAAACTATTTAATAGAATAGAAGAATTTTACTCACTGTTTGAACTTGAAGATATTTTCGTGCCCATTATATATGAAGTTAATTATATTTCTGCAATCTATTACGACAAAGTATAGTTTCTCAATTTACGACAATTAAACAATTGAAGTGTGAAGTTGATCTGAGTTTTCTGACGGTACAGCTGCTCTTAAA